ACCACAAGAAATTGAATAATCAAAATCAAAGAATATAAACTATTAATATTGTTGATGTTACTTCTATTTTATCTTCTGAGAGAACTGTTATAATTTTACCTGATGAATATGTTAAATTTTCTCAGTATTAAAAATTTTTGAAAAAATTCTCTACTATTGTTGAATTAGGTAAAAGATATTTTATCTCTTATTCAAACAAATAAGTAATTGATTCTGATATTACATATCACATGATAGGTAATTTTAAAATATCTTTTCTAACTTTCGATTACACATAGCACTTCTTTTTGTAATTATTGTTGATGGGTCTGGTCCACCTATAACATTATAGATTATGGGATTATAAAACCAACTTCATCTATTATCCTGTCATCTGAATTAAATGTAGCTAAACTTGCTTTTAAATTTGATTTATGTAAGTAAACTTAATAAAAATCTTAATTATTGTATCACATTCTTCCCTGATCGTTGTCTCCTTCAGAATCTTATGACGAAATAGATTATTAGTAAAGAACATGTATCAGATGGTCTCTACATTCTTGATACTTGCGTGCCTTAATCGGTTGTCTGCACTAGTGTCGTCTGTATATTTAAAACATATTGCCGATTGGGATACCATTCTTTTCATGTGTTATAGATGTTATGTCCTCAATTTCACGATGTATTTTCATTAGATTGTGAGTTATCTCGGTTTGTAAAATATCATCATATTTTGTCAAATCCAATAATTAATAAATGAGTTAAGTCTGCTTTTGACTTAGTTCACTTTGATATTTGGGGTCCTTGTCCTGTTTCGTGTGAAACAAAATTTAAATATTTTATTATTTTTGTAAACGATTTTTCTCGAATGATTTACATATATTTTATGAAAATTATTCTGATCTTTTTTGTTCCAAACAGACGTGCCTAATCATTTTTGGGTTAATGTTGTTTCCATGGCCTATTTCTTAATTAATCGCCTGTCATCTACGGTACTTGATGCAGACATTCCATACAATTTTTTAAAAAAAACAAATCATTGTTTCTTGTATAGTCTCAGGTATTTGATAGTACCTGCTATGTTCGATATGTGCGGTTTAATGTTACCAAATTGGACACCAAAATCTTTAAATATGTTTTTTTGGGATATTCTCACATTCGAAAAAGATATTGGTGCTACTTTACAAATTTCAATAAATATTTAATATCAACTGATGTGATCTTTTTAAAGAATACGACATTCTTCTTCTCATCTTCTAATTCTACAATTCAGGGGAAGGATGATGAGTGACTCATCTATAGGTTCATACCAAGTGTTTCTACTTAGCAATTAGATAATGTTATTTCTCTTGATGATGTGCCTATAGATCTAGTTGAGCAAACTAATGATGGTATTGGTGTGTCTCCGAATTAAGTACAACCGTCAGTTGTTCATGTGTATTTCAGAAGACAACAGACTAATAATACATGTTATGCACCAAGTTCTTCATCATCTTATCCTACTCCACATGACCTTAACCTTCTCATTAGTTTTCGTAAAGGTAAATGTCAGTACACCCTTCCTAACTTTACTTATCATATTGTTAATTTTATTTCATATGATCACAAGTCTCCTCCGCCTAACTCTAAATCACCCTGATTGGAATAATATAATGTTTAAGGAGTTAAATGCTCTCGATGAAAATGACACTTGGGATTTGGTGGGTTTACCTAAAGAAAAAAAGGTTATAGGGTGCAAATAGATCTTTTCAGTCAAAATGAATTTAGATGGTTTTACTGTAAGAGTTAAAGCTTGACTTGCAACAAAAAGATATACTCAAACTTATGGAGTGGATTATTTTGATACTTTATCTCCAGTGGCCAAACTTATATCTATCTACTTACATCTAGCTATTATACTAATTGGATATTAAGAATACATTCTTTCATAGCGATCTCATAGAAGAATTGTATATTAAGCAACCATCAGGATTTGTTGTTTAGAGGAGGTACGGGAAAGTCTATGAGTTGAAGAAATCTTTGTATGATTTGAAGTAAAGTTCTCGTGCGTGGTTTGACAAATTTAGTGAAGTACTTTTGGAATTTGAGCTAAAGAAGAGCAAATATGATTCCTAGGTCTTCTATAGACAATTAATAGCCGATATTATATTTATTATTACTTATGTTGATGATATTGCCATTATAGTAGATAATTGTGCAGAAATATCTCCTCTTAAGTCATTTTCGCATATCAACTCTCACACCAAAGACTTGGTTCAGTTGAAATATTTCTTAAGAATAGAAGTAACAATAAATAAGAAAGAGATTTTTTTGTCTCAGAGAAAGTATGTACTTGATGTACTTGCAGAAACCGGGAAGTTAGGAGGTAAGTCATGCAACACACCAATGGTGCCAAATATACATTCTAAAAAAGATGACGATGATCCCCTTGATGATTCGGAAATGTACAAACAATTAGTTGGGAATTAAACTATCTCATAGTAACTCGTCTAGATATTACATATGTCGTTAGTATTATTAAGTAATTTATGTCTGCACCTATAGTCAAATATTGGGAGGCTCTGTAACAGATCTTGTGCTACTTAAAAAGAGTTCCGGAACTTGACATATTGTTTAGCAATCATGAACACTTTTACATAAAATGTTTTACAAATACTGATTAGGTTGGATCTAAAATTGATAGAAGGTCCACTATAGGTTATTGCAGTTTTTTTTTGTGGGAACTTAGTATCACGAAGAAGTAAGAAAGAAGCAAGTTATTGTGTCTCGGTCCAAGGCAGAGTCCGAATATAGAGTTATAACCCAATCCATAGACGAAATCTTATGAATACATTACCTTTTAGCTGAAGTTGGTTTGGAGTCTATATCATCTACAAAACTCTAGTGTGAAAATCATACCATCCTTCATATTGTCTCGAATTTAGTATATCATGAAAGAACTAAATATATTAAAATTGATTGTCACTTTATCCGTGAGAAGATTCAAAAAAACTTGATTTTTGCCGGTTATGTGAAGACATGAGAATAATTAGGTGATATATTCACAAAAGATTTAAATAGAACTCGAATTGAATATTTTCATAATAACTTGCGCATGATTAATATGTATACTTCAGTTTGAGGAGAAGTGTTATAAGATTATGAATTATTTTTTTGTGTAATAGCGTAACTATTGCTAGTCGACTTTCTATATATATTATCGCAATTATAGGCAGTAAATTAATAGATTAATTTATGTTAGTTTCCTTACATATATCCCTCTGTATGTATGTATATCTCAAACCTATCGAAATAAAACAATTAGAAAGAATTTCTGTTTAATTCATATACTTTTCTTTACTTCGAGTGCACAGACTTTAGGAATACTTCTTCAGAAATTGCCCTTAAATAAATTGACAAATAAAATAAATCTTTGTTTAGATTATATACTTAGCAAATCTAACATAGTATATGTTTTGGTTAAATGAGGTTTCTATGAATAAAAGCTGTCAATATTTTCCGTTTGATGCTATTAACAGTGCCATTTAATTAACAGAACCAAAAGAACTAGACATCAGAACAGATATTTGCTGGGTTAAGGGAACGCTTGTGATGCAAGGGTGAACGTTAGTGGATAAAGTACCACTATTCTTCATATTGAGCCTGGGATTGTTATTTCAGGAAGGAGTGATGTAGGCCAACTGTTTAGATGCATTGGAACTCACACAGTAGATTATTGGTTTTTTTTTTTACATTTTACACTCGTTAATTGTTTCATCTTGGATGCTACTTGTTTCCTCTTTTATGCATTGGATCTTACGTAATAGATAATGGGAGCATCTCTCTTCGGCTTTTTCTAGTGTATTTATTACTTGAAAGGAAAAGATACGGAAACTAAAAAGTACGGAAACTAAAAGTTATCTATATTTCAAGATTATAGCAACAAAAGTTGGAGGAAATAGTTTTTTGAAACAATTTTTACATTTCAGTTTATAGTGCTCCAGTTATAGTCTCACTTTACAGAGGCATTTTATAGATTTTATTTTTCACGAAAGTATGACATATACTTTTCACCTCTCTAGCTGTTTGTCCCATCTATACTTTTAGTTTCTTTTTCTTGTAACAATTAATTGCATTCTATGGTTCTATCCAATATTGGAGTTATTCTTTTCCAGATTTGGTGTAAAATCTAACATTCATTAACATCACCCACTAAGAAAGCAGCTTATTATTAAGATGATCTTTATTGTTGCAGAAAAGCATCTTACTAGACTGCGAAACACAAATAGAGAGCCTCTTGGCAAATGTTTTTGAGAACTACAAATCATTGGATGAAAATTCTCCTACAGGACTAGCAGACATATTTGGCCCAATGCAAGAGTCTGCAGCACCAGCTCTCTCGCCTGCTGTGCAAGTGTATGCCCTCCTCCATGATATTCTGTCTCAGGATGCACAGATAATGCTGAGAAATTATCTGCAGGTAAGTTAAAACTTTCACTTATATTTGCTTGTCAACCTATTTACCCAATATCTAGCATTTGTTCTTTTCATCTGTAACTTACAGACCAGAAAACTTGCTAGTAAGTATTGTCACTACTTATTTCTTTTCTCCCTCCCTTCCTTCCTGCTTGCTTTCCATAGAAAACCTCTTTTTTGGTAAATAGATAACTTCCCTTTTGATTAGTTTTGTATACGATGGTTTTGCAAGAAACTAGCCAAAGCTAATGAATTGATATGAGTAGACGGGCTATATCTTTTGCAAATGTCTATGATGCATTTAAGGACAGCAGAGTTATAAATTGGTCAAATGTGAACATTTTGTAGACAGCAGCAAAAAAGAGGTGGCGGAAGCATATTGTGGAGACTGATGAGTTTATATCCAGCAACTCTGAAGATGTCCTGATGGATTCCATTACCATTTCAACAGCTTATTTAAAGATGAAGAATCTTTGTATAAGCATAAGCAAGGAAATAGAGGCTGATATAAAGATCAACAATGAGCATGTACTTCCCAGGTAAAGCTTGTGCGCATTATCCACTTGCTTCCACAAATGCCTCATAATCATTGAACCACAGAGAGCCTAGTGTTTCCTCTTATCATATTTGGTGCAAATTTGAGTAATTAATAAGAATAAGATTCCTTGCATTTGAGATATATCTTTTATCGTAGACGTACGTATTCTGACATTTGTTCTTCATCTTCCAGTTCAATTGACCTGTCAAGCATTGCAGCTGATGTGTACAGCACTGAGTTGTGTAAAAGGCTTAGAGCTTTCCTTGCTGCATGGCCTCCATCTCGACCACAGCCTCATGTCAATGAACTTTTAATAGAAATTGCTGATTTTGAAAGACATCTTGAATCTTGGAGAATCAGGTTCGTGTTAATAATATGATATGAACAAAATTGATGATTTATATTGCCAACATTGAATTTTCTGACTGGTGAATACTTTTTTCCTTCAGTCCAGTGCAAGGAGGTGTAGACTCAAGGTGTTTGTTCCATAATTATATAATGGTGTGGGTCCAGGATATGGAACTAAAATTACTTGATCTCTGCAAAGCAGAAAAGGTATCATCTCAAGGTTTTTATGCATGGTTGTGCAATGTGTAATCCCTTCAGTATATGAATTAGGAAAGGGGGGTTGCGATTAAGCATGCCCCACTGAAATGATCAGATGAAACTGCCTAACTTCTATGCTCAAATAAAATTCGAGCTTCTTACTTACGATATTTCTTGCAGGTTCCTTGGTCTGGAGTAATGACAAATCATTCCACCTCACCATTTGCAGAGGAAATGTATGAGAAAATCAAAGACTCTTTTGTTGAATATGAAGTGGTGATAAGCCGATGGCCCCAATATTCATTGATCTTAGAAACTGTAAGTTCTAATATCCCGTCCAGTGCTTGGCAGAAGTAGCATCTGTAGTGGTTCTTTTCTCCCTCAACTGATTCAAATGTGTGTATTTATGCAACCATTTTTTTTATGCATATAGGTATTTCTGTAGACATAATTGAATCCTTAATAAGATTTCTTGCACCTGAGATTCCTTTGTTTATCGTATGAAGGCTGTTGCCAATGTGGAAAGAGCAATCGTTAAAGCCCTGGAGAAGCAATACAATGACATTCTGACTCCTTTGAAAGATAGCATTCCAAAGAGGCTAAACATGCACGTCCAAAAGCTAACTAGAAGGCAATCAACAGCTCTCTATCTGGTTCCAAATCAAGTAAGTGCAGCATAGGTTATCATATAATTCTTGATGGTTTTGGCCTCTCAAGTGTAGAGCCACTAGGGAATTTGATCAGATATCATATGAAAAAAGTTTGTGCAGGTTACAGTTAATATATGTTTTTCTTACTGATACATTTCTTTCTACCAGTTGGGGATTTTTCTGAACACCATCAAGAGAATTCTTGATGTCCTGCATTGTAGAATAGAGGACATCTTGAAGTCTTGGGGCTCCTACCTGCCTCAACTAGGAGATAAGAAATCAATCTTGGGAGAGCAGATGAATGCCATAACAGTTATGCTCAGAACAAAATACAAGAACTATATGCAGGCAATGGTAGAGAAACTCGTCAGCAATGTATGTTCCATAACAGATTCATTTTTTCTGTATTTTCACCAGCATGAAGTTTAATATATTGTTAAAAGAATGAAAGATTACCTGATAATGTCAAGGTAACCCTGCAGTATTGATTTATTGAATTCTATGCGACATAGATTTAATATATTATTCTTGTGTGTGCACAAAATTCCTCAGAAATGTAGTTCATAAATTCTGCATGACGAAGTATCTTGACAAAGCAATTTCAATCAGCAAAATAATGGACATGAAATGTACTCTGGCAAATATTGTTTCAGATGCAAGCAAACAGGAGCACACGGCTGAAGAGGATACTCGAGGAGATAAATGAAGAAGATGGAGAGTCGGAGGTCCGTGAAAGAATGCAGATGCTGAGTTCGCAACTTATTGATTCTATATCTAATCTGCATGAAGTCTTTACAAGTCGGATTTTCATTGCCACCTGCCGTGGATTCTGGGATAGAATGGGACAGGTGGACAAATAGCGTATGCAAAAGGTATCTTAGTAGCAGCATTTCATAACTTCTGACTGTGTTCCATTTTGTTGTTATATTAGGTTGTTCTGAAATTTCTGGAAGGCAGGAAGGAGAACAGAATATGGTATAATGGATCTTATTATGCTCTTGGGGTAAGCAGCTCTGCCTCTGATCTTTTGAAATTCATTTATGCCAGCAACTTCTTGTTCTTAAGAGAGGATGTCAGGCCTCTGGTTTATGATAATACTGATTTAGAGCGGATTCATCTTAAATGAAGTTTTAAACAATGGATAGATCTGGAATCCATGGTTTTCTTGTATCAAAATTATATTTCTGAAGTGCTTCTTACTTTCTTTGTAGATATTGGATGACACATTTGCTTCCCAAATGCAAAGACTGCAAGGAAACTCACTACAAGAAAAAGATCTTGAGCCTCCTCGTTCAGTAGTTGAAGCTCGATCCATTCTTTGTAGAGACACAGCAAATATATCAGATACATCACCATACTTCTATGTTTAATATTGAAATATCCAATGAGGTGATCTTGGAGGCTACCTATTTGTAAATCACTGATATGATCATAATTCTTCTTTTGGTTTGCATATGTTACCTGTATGATAACAAACATCTGTGGCAAGAAAATTCATTGTATTCTTTTGTAAATCTTCTTTAAAATAATGCATATATAAAATCGTCTGTTTACAACAATTTTCAATACTGAGTCAATTCAAGCACAAGCTTCATACTTCTGAATTTTGTATATTCCTGTTAACTCCTTGATTTATTGTTTTCCGGCTATCTTCAGTCTGAGCAACGGCACAGAAATACATCTGATTCCTTTTGCAATTTTCTCCAACAGAACCATTGATATAGTAGACCGCCAAGAAGGACATCTAACTCCTTGATTATATTTAGTCAATTATGATGTCTCATACTCCATGATTGTATTGTTCTTTGCTTCTTTCTATTTTTATTGAAATTTCTTCTTTTATCATAAAAAGAAAAAGTTAATTATGTTATTCAATAATTTCTTGCATTTTACCTTTGAAAAGCAATCGAGAAGAATATGTGGAAACCATCTGTGATTCATCAAAAGATATAAAATTGCATAGTAGAGTCATCCATCCAAAACACAAAAGTCATCTTCATTTCACTTGTCAACTTTTCACAAAGTAATCTACTAGACCACCGCATGGAAAATTAATCTGCTGCAGTTCAAGTTCCTTTTCCTTGTTGAATTTGTTGCAGAAGAGCTGCCGCCAGTTGTAATGTTGCTTGCAACCGTTTCTGTGGATCAGAATCTGTTTCCTCTTGTGTACCACTACTTTGCGGCTGTTGATTTCCTGAAGACAATGACTGGTGATCCCTTTTACCCGGAGGCAGCATTGTTGCAGGAACATTTGATACATGTTGTTGCTGCTGCTGCTGCTGCTGCTGCTGTAGCAGTAGCTGTTGCTGCAGCTGCAGGTGTTGCACCTGGCTAAACTGGGATGCTAAGAACTCAGGAGTCACCTGATTGCTTTGGAAAGAATACCTGTCTTGTGGTTTATATAGATTGTCAGACTGGCTCATTCTGTTCATCTGCTTAAGTTCCTCCCCCATAGATACATTTGGAGTGCTCCCCACCTGCCTGGACTGTCCCAGAAGAGATGACGCCAGTTGTGCAAGCTGTTCTGGTTGCAAACCAGAGATAGGCAGAGATAAGGGAGGAATCGAGTGTTTAGTTTCATCGATAGATGACTTGCTGGGGCCAGATAGTGGAATCCCAGAAATCACACTGCCATTGTGACCAGAGTTCATTTCTTGAACAACCCTAGGATTGCCCGAGTGAAAAGGAAGATCAACAGCATTATTGGATACCTGTGATGGTAAGCTTCTAGCACTAGAAATTGAGTTCCGTGGATCCTGAGGAGACCAGTTTGGTCCTAATCGTTGGAGAGGTGGGTGATCATGTCTGTTATCGACATATGAGTCGGTCAGATTCCTTATAGCATTCAGTGAGCCCGAAAATGATGCTGATGGAGCTGGCGCAGTCAGATTCCCAACAAAAGATAGATCATTAATTCCTGCCTTAATCAGATCAGGAATCGGAGGAAAAGACCCAGGAGGTGCGGAAGCCTTTGTGTTAGATGTATCCCCATGGTAAGCTAACAAGTTTCCATCTCTGTAATCATTTGGTTGGGGAAGAGACCCAAAACTAGAACCAGGGTGCTCTAGTCTCAAAACAACACCGGAGATGCTCAGCTTACCAGGAACTTTCAGCACCTTCTCTGAAAAATCTGATGGAGGTACCAGGAACAATGTTGTTCTCTCATCTAATTTAGCAACTGCTGCTCGCTGCTTCTCCCCCAGATAGTGCATAAATTCATTATAAAATCCTATATCAGCATCACTTTCTGGGACAAAGAAAACAACCCAAGCACTAGAGGCTTGATAATAATGTTTGGCCAGCATGTCTAAACCAGTTCTTGCTGTGCAATCCAGGAATTCAGGCCTGCCATAAAGCGTTAAAAAATCATCTCAGAGCATGAATTAATGTACTCAGAGAGAGAAACATATAAATGCATGTTTGTTTTCAATTGTGATGCCTATGAAATTGAAGTTGCACTACATTGTTTTCATTTTTAATAGAAAAATAATTATTTTTAGAAAAGATTTACTCAAATTTGGCATGCACGCTGACTGGAGATCAATATGAAATCTGTTTTTGTTGACAGTCGTACTTGTATAACTTAAAATATTCATTTATCAAAGTGAACATCAGCATTACAAAAGATTGGAACATGATCAAGTGATTTGCTTTGGCTCCAGGAGATAAATAATTCAGTTTTCAAACACTTTTAACCCACAGGACCAGAATATACCCAAAGAGCACCTGCCTGTAAGACTAAAAAAAAATTATTATTTGCTCTGGTCCAACACAGTAAATTGAACCATTGAGTGCATACAAAAAGAAAGTAACTGGATACATCCAGTGGATACCGAACTGTCTACTGAATTGATATCAAGTATAAAGAAACAAAATACATAATGGCATATCAGTTGTTGCTTTCTTTTTCTTCATTTAAGGGTACGAGAGTGGGATTGCATATTAGTTGACACACACACACACAGAGAACAAATTGGGCAAGATAGAAGTTATCAGCAAGCTAATGCCTTGGCTAAGAGAGATAAAAACTTTATGTAAAGGATGACTACTACTTACAGCATGATGTCCAAGGCTTTTCCCACAGCCACAGGAAAGCAGCGAGCACGACAAACTGGAGTGCCTCCCTTTGCTATAGTGCCTTCCCATTTCCAGTCATTCATGGATGCCTGATCCAACTCCGGGGTAAAACTTTTCCTCTCAACAGTATTTGATGGCATGGAGACAGATCCGATCTGCAAATTATCATAAGGTGCTCTCAAATGATCACTTCTTTCTATATGAGGCAGACCTATACTCACTGGGAGATCAGGAATATGTTTATACCCAAAAGGTGCAGAATTAAAGCTTTTATCGAAGGCTTCATTCTGCGGAAAATCAGAGAATACCCGAGGAAGAGCATGTTTCTCTTGTTCTGGCTTAGAGAACGGATATTCTGGCAACTCTTTTTCAGGAGGAAAGGCACTAGTCTTCAGTTTCTTAATTTCATGATGATAATAGGCATCTTCTGGCAAATCCCATGGTTCTTCATAGAATTGACTCTTTTGAGGAAACTTCTGAGGAAAATCATGGACAATAGAGACCCTTTCTCTTGGACTACTATGACGTTCGTACACATCTTGTGGTAGGCCTGGTTCAGGCCCCCCTTCCCCAAACCTCCAGTTTTCATCATCCTCGCTCCACAAAGACCTCTTCCTATTATAATTATAAACATCTGGGATCACTAGAATCCACATCTGGAATAAGATTCGGAGATCTGATCCTAGGATCTCCAATAGTGCTTCCATAATTCCTATCATGATGAAAATTATCAGAAGATCCCAGCCGACCATTTGATTTCAGATGTGGGGTGAGAGGGGCACTTGTTGAGCTCCTACCGCTGTTGGATGAACCAGCATCACTCTTTGCAAAACAAATATGCACACGGGGATTTCCAAACAATTTACCCTGAAGAGTTTCTTTTGCCCTGTAAGCAGATGTTATACTCCGGAAACGAACAAATGCATAACTACGACCAGGGAATACAGTAATCTTCTCTATTTCACCAAATGGGGAGAAAGCCTTCCGCAAGATCACTTCATCCACCTTCAATAAAGCTGGAAAACCTATCCACAGGACCTCACTAGCTTCTGAACTTCTATCACTCATTCTGGATTTTTCTGTGTTTAAATGATCAGGACTAGCATGGCGTGCTCTAGAATCCTTTTGAGAGAACGGAGATGCTCTTACACTGGATCGTGGTTCATCATGACGTACGTGATCTTCAGTGCGAGGTGCTGATGACTTATCCTGTGATAAAGACCGAGATAAGGGATAAACCACCCTTAACTTAAACAATTAATGATGAAACTGTTTATTGGCCTACAATACTTGAAAGAAATGAATGAATACGATTACATCCTGAACTGATTTGCAATGAACTCTACATAGCTAGGATGGGGACTGTCAAAGTACAAGTGCATGAACAATCATTTATGAGTTCAAGCAGTGTAAAGATATCCTGGTTTTGAACTATTGATAACCCCATCAGCATTATCAATAGCCTATAGCCAGGCACTCAATATAAAATATGTAATCAGTTTATCACAGTTTCTCTTTGTTTCCTTGGCATGACATAGAAGGAAATAACAGCTAATAGAGCAATAAATTTCAGGAATCTCCCCAGTGTCAACGTGAAAGGATTTTTCTTTCACTTAAAGAGAATGTAACCATCAAAATGAACCTGAGTAAGTTCCTCTTGCGAGGTACAGAAGGAGCTATCAAAACAAACTCGAATATTCACATATGATCTTGCAGCAACTACCTAGACTTGCACACTTAGATCACTTACCTAATCATTCCTCAACTTCAAAGACAACCCACGGGTCTGGACTTCAGTGACATTTCTCACATTCAAGTATCATCGTCAGCCAATTTGTATCTTCAATTTCACGTTGTACCTAATATCAGACTACTTGAATCAGATCAAATGACCCAAAATTTTGAATTGTCTCTAAACATGCATCGTTCTAATATGACCCCCTGAACTGATTTGCACATTTCCAAACCCAAAACATTGACGTTCATAAGCTGCATCGATCCTTAAAATAAAGATGACTCGACCCGTACCAAACTTATCATGTCTGAAGCTAGTAAGTCTCTTATTTGCTATCTGAGATCAATCCATGAGATCATACAGCAAAAGGTAACCTAAAGATTTTGTTCAGAATAAAGGAGAAATGAGGCAAATTAAAATAATCAGAAATCCATTTGCAAACGAAATTTGATGTTTGAAATAAATCATAATATTTGAAAGTGTTTTGCTGCCTCAATTAGCAGAACCACAAACAGGAATGCAAAACACCTTTTTAAAAATAAAAAGTATATGCAGTACCATTAATTACA